CCTCTTCTGAATCCAACTTGAACCTCTGGAAGTTCTCTGTCAATGTATGATAGTAGCCATTTCTGTATTACCTTTAGCAAAACTTTACTCACATGGGATATCAGAGATTGTCGGATGATTTTCGCATTCCGTTGGGTCACCTGTCTTTGGAATGGGCCTAAATACGGATCTCTTCCAGTTAGTCAGTCACATAGTTGTCTTCCAAATTTCTTGGTAAAGATGAGTGAGTGCCTTCTGTGCTGCCTCACTCTATGCTGGAGAGCAAGTTTGATACACGGAAACTTGCTCTGCAGTGTAGAGATGCTAAAGCAAATGGAAGAAATGAGGAGGTACATAACAGCTTAAACCCTATCAAATTCACATAGCTGTCTATTTCCTTTGCCCTGCCATGTGTTTTATGAGCAACATGACAGCTCAGTAGCAGCATCAGTCAGCTCCCCCTCCAGGACGTTCTTTACTTCATCCCTATCCCTGTGACCTACCTGGCCAACATATTTCCACACTTTCATCGGTAGACTCAGGGCTGGCCAAGCTGAGAGTAGCCTCATCTGTTGGTGATTGCTTTCCTATTTGGTCTATGAAGCGGCGTATCATGATTTGAAACCAGCACCCAGGGTTCTCAGTAATTTTCCAGCTGTTTGGTGAGTTTTCTTGCCTTGTGCTGAAGCTCTCCAGCTTCAGTGATCACTGGGCTTCTCATGGTTACTAGGATCCTGGCATCATTCTATGACATCATCAGTGACACTGACCAGTTATGTGACCATGGCAAGGACAGAGAGACACAGCCAGAATGCAAGGAGAGCCTTCCTGCCGTGCTCTCATTTCCCCCACTGGGACCTTTTCTGCCTGTGTATGATGAAGGACATGCACAAACACAAAACATACAAAAACATACTCTTAAACATTGATACACATATGCACATACAAACTTATAAACTCACACATCAACACTTACACAAACATAGACTTTATCTACACATATACTCACACAGACGCCCACATGGATATTCAGGCACTATGCGTGCTCACTTAGACACAGATACACACAATGAGGGCAAGTCAAAAAGTATCACTACTAGGTTTCTAGTTCATACATGTATGAATTTATTCCAAACCAAACATGTCTGAAATTAGGGTGCCTTTTAAAAAAATGTCCACTCAAATCAGTGGCTTCCAAAGGCATTTTCTGGGTCAGTTAAATTCAAGGCGGAGAGGTCAGCTCAGGAGACTATGGAAACTGCTTTTAAGGGGAAACTCCAAAGGGATAATCTTAATAGATTTTCTCTGAGGATGCTGGACAATCATGGGACTTATATTTTATAAGTCCCATGGAACTTATATTTTAGGAAGAAGCTTTAAGAAAACTGGAAACTGCATTGGTGAGAAAAAGGACAGGAAAGGTGGGCCAAGGAGTGTTTTCCCATTATAACAAATATATTGCTCATTCTTCAAGGCTAGCAAGCATTGTCTTACAAGACCTTTCTTGGGAAAGCTTACTCAATCTTGCCTCTTCAGGCTTCTTTCTGGTTCCCAAACTCAGAAAACATTTAAAAGGAACACTATTAGAGTCCTTTGAGGAAGCCAGAACTGCCATTTTGATGCATAAATCGTAGAGCACAGAAGGGGAAGGGCTTGTTGTTGTGTGCCATCAAGTTGGTTCTGACCCATAGCAACCTTGTATAGGATTTCTCAGGAGCAGCTGGACTCCTAGGGGAAGGGCTAGAGAGATGGAAACACCTTCAGAAATGTAGAGACCTAGATGGAGGATAATATTGAGAAACAGTAACTTTACATTTTGATATTTTTGTTTAATAAGAATTTCTATGATTTTGTAGCAATACTTTTTTTTTCTTTTTCTTTAATTTAAGATTTTTATTATGGATTGAGTGAAAGTTTACAGGGCACATCATCAGTTTCACATTCAACAATTCATATAACTTGTTTCATTACATTGATTATAATCCCCTCCATATAC